ACAAAAAGAAATCTCATACAACTAGTGTCAGTTGTATGAGACACAAAATAAAATATCAGGTTAAATACATAATAGTAGTTTTTTTAAGAGTAAGTGGTGGTCAAAGTTGAAGTAATGACCTTCCTCTGATTTGGTACACCATATCCAAGTGAAGTGAGTAACTTATTTAGAACTTTTAGGAACAAGTATGAATTGTTAACTTACAAACCTAATAGTAAGCGTTTAGTAATAATTTTTAAATTAAAATTATACTAATAATCTAAAAATATTTTATTTCTGTTATTTGTGGTTTGAATTATTTCCTTGTATTTTTAGGAAACCCATAGTCCCTATAGGTTTAGGAAAACTCATTGTCCTAATAGATTTGGGAAAGGAAAACCTATAGCCCTTTCAAATTGGAAAACCTTTCTCTTATAGGTTTGGGACCTTTTGGAATCTATATATATAGGGGTTGTAGTTGGGGATCCTAGAGATAGTACTGTGCTTTTCTTCTCGTTCATAGTGAAAAACTCTCTCTGCTTTTGCCCCGAGGATTAGGCTTAACCGAACCTCGTTAAATCCTTGTGTTAATTTTTCTTCTCTATTTGCTTTGTGTGTGATTGTGTGCTAGTTAACTCACGATATTCCGTATCGATTTTAATATAACAAAATTACTTACATCCTTAATAAATTACGTCCATCTTAAATCGTTTAACTTAAACTTGTGAGTGGTGAATTTACTTACACTTGACGTGCAAACCATAGGCTAGTATTTGAGTTTTGTGTTATTAGCAGCTAGCTGAGCAAAAGGTTTGACTGCAGTAGATAGATATTGACAGTCTATATATAGAGCAGTAGCATGAAAAGCAAATTCTGTAGTGATAATGATGAAGCAAGTACTGATTAGTGTGGAACCGCTAGTTTGCCGCCTGAATTTTGCTGCTTCTTGAGCTACAACCTATGGCTTTTACCTATTAACAATCAAACAGTTATTGCAAACTACTCCCTCCATCTAATTTATGTGTTTCTCTTATTTGACTGAACGTGCAATTTAAGAAGAAAAAAAGTTATATTTTTAAATTGGATATTCATACAAGATACTATCAATTTCTCCGAGAGAGACTAGGTACCCGTTTCTTCATATATATTTTTTTATTTTTTCGACTTTTTTTTCAAATACATGATTGTCCTTAAAATTTTGCAAACTTTTCGAAAATGAGTTTTTCAAAAATTAAAAAGGTGAATTCGACTACTTTTTCAAAATTTTCAAAAATTTTTATTTCCCCACTCATAAATCTGCAATATTTTTTCAAGTAAATTGCATGTCCGAACATAATTTAAAATTTTAAATATCATTTTTAAACTTAACTCCAAATACTTTTTTTTTAAAATTATAATTTTAATGTCCAAACGCCTACTAGATATCACATAAGTTAAGATGAAGGGAATAGTGCTAACACCTGGAACTTCCTTTGTTTCAATTTATATATCTTAGTTTGACGATGCAAGAAATTTAGAATATGAATTATTTTTGAATTTTGTGATGTTAAATTGAAGATATTTATAATATATCAAGGAAGCAGACTCACTTAAGAGTGACATTCTATTTTAAACAGACTACGGATAAAAGTAAGAAACATAAATTAAAATCTAACCTTGAAGCATTTTTTTAAGACTCTTCTTCATATGTTGAAAGATTGTTGAAAATTATATTTTTTACAAAATATTTATGATTTTTTTCTAAAGACTTTCATATCTTTGAAGTAAATACCAGCTAAGATATTGGCACCTATATCTATTGTAAAGAATACATAAGACTAATAGAATTTCCATGCTCAATATAGGTAGATCAAGAAGGTCTAAAAAAGAATCAGGTAAATTGACAATTTTGACAAATTTCAAGGAAGCATGACTCTCTTATTAGACTTTATAATTTTCTTTCTATTGGTTTGGTAGTTTCTCTTGATATGAGATTATCAAATTATGTAAGGGTCGATAACTGATCGGTTATTATCTTATTATGTAATTAAATATTATGTACTTAATATAGTTAACGAAATAAATTATTAATTGAGATATTTGGGCATCTTAAATGAGAGGTATTTCAAACATTAGCGTCAAGGGTTCAAATCTAGCTTTTACTTGCTCTATAATTGTAGCTACCTAGAATGTAGCCTAGCTATAGGTGAATTGACCCGTCAATGAAAACTGAAAGGAAGAAAACTTGCACCAACTCCGATCCTTGCAGTTGGTGAATAGCTTCTAGTCTATAGAGTAGCTGCGAATTTGTATAAAATGAATTACGTTCCCCATCGACTCCAAATGGTTAGTCTTCTTGGATGTTGAACAGTTACTATCCAGTTTCTTGTTAGGAGTACTTTTAGTTGGCGTTTGAACATAAGAATTGTAAAATTTCGAAAAAAGTAAAATTTTTATTGATTAAAAATGATATTTAAAAATTAGAGTTGTGTTTGGATATGAATACAATTTGGGTCTGTTTTTGAATTTTTGTTAGTGATTTGAAAAATAATTTTTTAGAGTTTTTCAAATTTTCAAAAAATTTCGAGATGCAACTTTATGTGGAAATTTAAAAATTTCATTGGCAAAAGCTGATGTCCGCTATATCAAAACGGGCGGAAATGCTCTTTACTAAATTAAAAAAAATAAATCATTTTTAGAGATTGATGTCGAACCTCTAATTAAGGTGGAGATCATATTCATCTCACAACTCTAGATATAAAATTTTACCCACATATATGAAATTTTATCCCGATGAAGTTTGACATGCACGGCACCCTCTTAGAGATTATTTGGTTGGTGGAATAAAAGATACTATCACTGGGATAAAATGTGAAGTTATTTATCATGTGTTTGCTTATATATTAAATTCGGAATTAATAATTCGTGGATTAATTATATACCGCAATGGAGGTATAATCCCGGGATTTATAAACACTAAAATGTCAAAGATACTCTTCTCCTAGGTTCTTTTTTCAATGTCCCTTAAAAAAATAAAATTTTGTCCCAACTTATCTAACTGGGGATATACTTTAGAGGGTATTTGGATTGGCTTTTAAGCACTTTTTAAGTTTGTGTGGTGTTTTACAATAATAAAAAGTGTTTAAAAGCATTTACTTTTAGGCATAAAACGTACAAAATAAGTCAAAAGTCAAAAGTTGGGTATTACCAACTTATGGCTTTTGGCTTTTAGCTTAAAAGCTACTCCCTCCGGTCCAAAATAAGTGATTTTTTGGCCTTTTTCTTGTGGTCCAAAATAAGTGATTTTTTCAGATTTCAAGAATGAATTAATTATTTTTTTCCTACATTGTCCTTGAAGTAAATGGTGTTGGAATATGTGTTAGGAGTGTTTATGTGAGATAGTAAAGGTTAATATGGTCAATTCTATTGCTAATGAATGCTAAAATGTGAATTTCTTAATTTGTGTGAAAACATCCAAAAAATCACTTATTTTGGACCGGAGGAAGTACTTTTTATAAGCCAATCCAAACACCCTCTTAGTCATGTTAATACGTCTACTTTGGGTGCTATGCTTTCTAGGAGTCTTTAGTCTTATTATAGATTCTCATGTTGGCAGGAAATATAGAAAACTTATACTGTTAATTAAATACATGTTATCACGTATATCCTATTTATAGTTCAATCAACCAAACATCTATCAATAAAAGTATATTCACTAAATAATCTCGTTATTATTTAATCCCCATGTCATAATTCTATCGTTATAATCCTTAGTATACGTCGAAGTAGTTATGAGACGACAATTATAGTATGTTTGGCTAAATTTTTAAATCAAATTATTTTCAAAAAGTACTTTTGGCGAGAAGTAATTTATATTTGGCTAATTAATTTAAAAACACATTTAAATAGTATTTAGTATTTGATCAAGCTTAAAAAAGCGCTTTTAAATGTATTTCTCAAAAATGTTTTCTGAAAAAGAATTATTTTTGAAAAGAAATTATTTTTTTCCTTTCTCAAAAACTATTTATACTTCTAATTAAAAGTACTTTTTTATTTTAAATATTCGATCAAATATCTCAAGTTTAGAAAGAAAAAAATTACTTTTAACCAAAAAATTCATTTGGAAAAAAAAAAATGTACTCCGCCAAAATAATTAGTCGAAAGGTTTATAAATATCTTTATTGCTTAAATTTCTGTCTTATTAGAATAATTATTTTCTCTAGTCTGTTCAAAGGAGTTGAACGAGATGGTGGTCAGCAGTCCACTTAACAAAGAATTAAATAATTGCTGCTACCAATACCAATACCTATATGTACCAATTGTCAGTGGTCAGCAGTCAGCCCCCTCGAGAATTAACCGCCGGCGTCAGAGGACCTCTTTCGCTGTAATTTTGACTGCATTTATTACTCTCTTTGGACCCTATCATCACCTCGCATTTGATTTTCAACCTAACCCGCCGCCGTTTCCTTCAACTCTTATTTTTCCCAGACTTTTCACGAACATTACAATTTAAATCTTGATGCCCATCCTATTAAAATACTTGGTCCCTATAGAATCAAGTGTCAAATCGAGTTGAGACGTGTTTAGTCAAACATAATTTACATTAGTACGAGACTAGTAATTTGTATAAAATGTTAATATTACATGAGAGAGAATGTCGGGCCATTACAATTCTACACATTTACAAGATGAACGTTGCATAAATATGAATACTAAGATGAATGTATAATCATACAAGAATAATAAGATAGATCTAAAATCACACGAAAGGAAGTTGTTCTGAAGGATTACAATTTATGGGAATCAATGCAGACTTAATAAAAGAGAGATGCATTAATAGAAAAATTATATATTAGACATAGCACTTTTTTTTGCTTTTTAAGAGGAGTTTAACCTTTAAGAGATTTATACGGTTAAAATATATACAAGCCTGCTAATACTCTTTATTTGTATTTGCATAACATCGATACGAGCAAAGTTAAATAAAGTATTGTGACTTAAATTAATAATCTAAAATTCTCAAATCCTGTCGGTGTTCATCAAGGCATCTATAAATATCACTTAAAACCTCTCAGCTGACCAAAACCTTTAGTCACTCTCTGTGATTAGTGGATTTTTGTCCCTCGTTTCCCTCTGTTCCTTACAACTATACATTGGTCGTGCTCATGGTTGCTCAAAGTTCCACCATGTGTGGCGGCGATGGCGGCGGCTCTCAAGGAAACACTAGTCAGCCTGTTCGAGCACCAAAGGAATCGCACTTCCGAGGCGTTCGGAAGCGGCCATGGGGGCGGTACGCGGCGGAGATTCGCGATCCATGGAAGAAGTCGCGGCGTTGGCTCGGTACATTTGATACGGCGGAGGAAGCTGCACTAGCCTACGATGAAGCCGCACGGAGTCTACGTGGACCCAGGGCCAAGACAAATTTTGGGCTTGATGGGCTTGCAGCAGTCGGCCCACCACCGACCCTACCAAAGCTTCCTAACTGGTGCTTTAATGCCCTTTATGGCTCGTACCTTGAAGATAGGAGCAGATTTGGTACAGGTGAGACTACTGTAGCGAGTTCTGAGTACTCGGGTTATAAGTTACAAGGTGTTAGTGTTGTATTGAATGAACATGAGAAGAAGACGAAAAATGAGAAGAAAAAACCGTTCTTGTTCGATCTAAATCTCCCTGCCCCACTCTTCTAATTGGATTCATTAGAAGAATATTCGGCATTATATGTTTATACCAAGTTAAAATACGTATAATTCTAGTAATTAGTTTGTAGTTTCGGCCAATGAATTAGCTTATGTGCGGTGAAGGACAGTATAAGCAGCAAAAGTTGGACAAGAAATCCCTACTTTTAGAGGAAGATTTATCTCACGTTTTTTGAAATCTATGACTTCACTGTGTGTTTTGTACAGCGGATACCACATTTCATCACTAATGACAAGCTATGATATGATATGATATTAATATAATGTGCTTATCGATTGGGTTTATTTGTTTAATTTATGTTTATTAGCAGTTTACTCAAATTGTTACACTAGCAATTTAATTTAACATACTGTAAAATGTTTCTGTTTTAATTGTAAGGAAGTTAATTTTACTTAATTACTAGTTTCTATGAACTTGCATTGCACTTTAATAATAACATATAGTAGTGTATTTAATTATTTATGTGAAGGCACAACAAATACAATTATTATTTTAATTCCAAAAGTTATCACTACATTAGCACAATACATGAACTCAAAATTGTTGCACAACATATGAACGTGCAAAAATGATCAATGTAGTCATGTTAGTTAGATAATATTTTTATATGCTTATAATTTAGAAATATGCAATGTGATGATACTAATCTAAGACTTTTATGGATGATATTTTTTTTTGTCTATGTTCTCTTTTATGTGTGGGTTGTTGTGTCAACACTTGTTATCGATGGTAATATTCCTTTTCAAAGTGTAAAATATAGTTATTTGTGTTGAAAAAAATATTGCAATAAATACAATCTAATATTTGGGATTATTTTTCCTATACTTTATTTATTCTTGTTGCAAAATATAAGTGCACAAAAATTGTTTTCGAATAAATTTAAAAGGATATTTTTTATTTTTATGATTAAATTTTGGGGATAGACACATTCGTGGAAGCACATTGGCCCATCATGGTTTCTATATGTACGATGCTATTTGTCAAAATCTCTACTTACTGTTCTTGTACCATTACATAAGCTATTTGACATATCTAAATTTCTCAATAGTATGTATTTTCTTCAAAATTAACCTATATTAAATGGAGAATGAATTTTAACTTTGTCCAGTATATATATACATGACACTAACATACGTAAGAAATAATGAATTTGATATTATACATGTGTGGTGGAATGCTATTTGATGCTTAAGTCTCAAGTATTATTTCTTGCAATAGTTGTTGGTATCATCTTCTGTTGAGTAGAAATTGAAAAATATTTTGCTTTTATGGGAGAACTAAACAATTAACATTATGCAGCTGATCAACATACTTATTCATGCTAGCTAAGATAGCGCTTTCTATCATGTAACAACCTACATTTTAATTTAATTGTGAAAACATTTCCCTTATTAAGCGATCTTCACGACTACTATCACCATTGGAATGATAACCAATTATTTTAGAAGGAACAAACTATTTTTTTGTATTCTCTTTTATGTTTTCGACAGGAAGCAAGAAGCCAGTGGATGATGGATCTATTCTTACTCTTATACTTTTTGTTAGCTGAATCTTTTCCATTTGAGGCTATAAGTAAGAATTTACTAAGATAACAATTACAGTCTTTGCTCGCATCAATCTTAAAACTACTATAGTACTTGATATAAATCACCTCCTAAATTATCACGTTTCCACCAAATAGTTTATTGATATCCATATATCTCTAGAGCTCATATCAATTGTTTTAATCGTCTGAAGCTTCGCAATGGGCGCTACATCCTATATTACTTTGATTTTCTTATAAATTTAATATTACCATTATGCTTTTATATATTTGTGATGGTTATTTTAGTAGTTTGAAGGGATATGTTAAATATAAAATGAGTTATACGTCCCCTGATAGAATTGTTGCTACTATACCACTTGTTGCTATTGCTAATAGTTTTTAATCAACCATTTTCAAGTAATGCATAATATATGAATATATTTTCGATTCCTTGGGGGATATCTACAATGGATAATCCCGTTCTACAACAGTCAGCTCTTGCAATATAATCTTTATGGTTCAAAAAGAATGAATCTCTTTCCTTTTTAACTAGTTTAAAAAGAATGACCCCTTTCTAAATTTGGAAAGCTTGTAACTTTAAACTTCTGATATCTCCCTTAATAAAATGATTTATAGCAACACAAGTATCTATAGGTTGCTTTAGATGACAAATTTCAAAAGTGTTTTTAATACTCCACATCCAAACAAATAGGTTCAAACAAATTAAAACTGAGGAAGTAATCTTTAGAGCTTGCCCGTGTTAAAGATTTAGCTTGATTGTAGATTAAAATCTTCCTCGAGCACTTATATAGCATTTTGACTCTTGATACTATCCTAATCGATTTTCTGTGTTTTCTATTAGTTTTCACCTCCAATGCTAAAAGTAGATATTGATGCTGCTCATTGTTCATGTCAAAATATTAATGGGACTAAATTAATAATAGTAAATATTGCCAAACGTGTATGTCCTAAATGTGGCCTAACGTGAATGTCCTAAAAGTAATAGGATTAAGTGCACTATATCGTTTATGTCCTTTTTCTGAAGGTTATTATGTTCAATATTATAAAGCTATTTTAGTTTATTGACATTGTATTCGTAGTTTTTTAATAATATAGATAAATAAATAATTATATTTAATTAATTTTTGAATGATCTAATAGTGTAAAAGGTTCTACATCACATTAGAAAGATATTTAGATATGAGAGAGAAGCCGGAAATAATTTGGGCAAATTATGTCACGACCCAGAATCCACTAAAAGTCGTGATGGCGCCGGACATCATTGTCAGGCAAGCCAACATTAAATACTAGTAACTTCTCGTTTTAGATATTTCTAAATTCACTTCTTTTATACATTTAAACAATAAAGAATAAATTCCACTGAATAAATAATGATATCTTTAACAATTTTAAAATACTGAATAATCCCATAGACGTCTCAAAACTCTGTGTCACAAGTGCATGAGCAATTACTAAGGAATCGAATAAAGTACAATAACTGTCCGAAATACAAATTGGACAGAAAGTAAATACAATACGCTGAAAGAGACTATACTGGCTGCGGGTCGCCTCGAGAAAATGCAACTCACCTAGTCCCTGTATCATCCATGCTGCTACGCCCAGTAGGCCACTAGAAATACATGTGCCTGTGCAACAAAAATGCACAGCAAGTGTAGCATGAATACGAAAACAACGTGTACTCGGTAAGTATCCCGTCTAATCTCGAAGAAGTAGAGACGAGAGGTCGACTTCGACACTTACTAGTGGTCCAATAATGATACGTCAATAATATAATAAATCGAGAATTTTTTTATAAACATGATTGTAATTCAATAGAATGAAGCAAGTAAACAATTCTTTATTTTATAGGAAAATTTCCAAATTCCTTTTCATCATTTATACATTTATTCTCAAGCCGGGAAGAAACAATATCACTTCAGTAAATTTCAAGGCAAACAATACAAGCATGCGCAAATCATGCCGAGGTCGTACGGCCCGATCCAACAATATCTAAACTGTGCACTGCCAAAGGGTTGAATGGCGTGAACCATAGATGCATCTATTTAATGTAGCGAGGCGTTCGGCCCGTTCCACAATAGATAAACACATCCAACAGTCAAATCAATAATTCATCAAGGAGCAATTATTTAGGAAAAGGCAAGTTTCTCTTTTAAAAGTCAAGAAATGATATCTAGCCTTTTAGAAATTCATTCACACGTTCGATATGTTTTAAGCATTTTTAAATTTGTCAATAAGGTTGCAAATATTATAAGTAAAGCATGCTTTTGGGTCCTAAACTACCCGGACATAAGCATAATAGTAGCTACGCACGGACTCTCGTCACTTCGTGCATACGTAGCCCCACAAATAGCAGCACATATTCAATTAATTCACCTATGGGGACAATTTCCTCTTACAAGGTTATAAATGAGACTCACCTCGCTCCGAAGTTCCATAACCGACATTCCACGCCATTCCGAAGACTCAAATTAATGCACAACGCTCCAAAACTAGCCAATAATTACGCAAATCCATTAATATATGTTCAATTACTCATAATAATCCAATTTATAACAATTCGTAACCCCGCCTGAAAAGTTGACAAAAACTTCCTCGGGCCCACGTGCCCGAGTTCCGAAATTTTTTGAAGATAAAAATTACCCACAACCTCACGAACTCAAATATATAATTTACTCTCAATTTCATATTCAAGATCGTGGTCAAAATCAAAAAATACAAATTCTAGGTCTTTCTACCAAAATCCCAAGTTTTCCACTAATTTCCATGTTCAAATCCATATCTAAATCATGTATTAACTTGTAATGAGTGGGAACAACTTACCTTGTGATACTTGAAGAACATTTCCCCTTGAAGCTCTCCAAAATTGTCCACACCAAATGAAAATGGGAGAAAAATGACCAATTCCCGATTTTAAAAGAACACACTGCCTCCAGCCTTTCTGTACCTGCGGTGCACCAGCCGTACCTGCGGCTCCGCACCTGCGAAAATGCATCGCAGGTGCGGTCCTCTTCAAGAAAGGCGAAATCTGCTTCTGCGGTCCCTCAAGCGCATCTGGGCCTTCGCACCTACGTGTGCCCTCCACTCCTGCGACCCAGCTGCCCCTCACGCATTGCGCATCTGCGGAGCTTACTACGTACCTGCAGGCTCGCAGATGCGGAAATACCCTCGCATCTGCGGTTCTTCCCAACTTTGCCCAAATGCGCTTCTGCGACCACAAAGCCGTACTTACGGGCTCGCACCTGCGGCCCTCTTCTCGCAGGTGCGGTTACACCAGAAGCCCAGCTGCTTTAGTTCTTCCTCAACTTCAAATTTAATCCGTTAACCATCCGGAATCCACCCGAGGCCCCCGGGACCCCAACCAATCATACCAACCAGTCCAATAACATAATGCAGACCTGCTTGAGGCCTCAAATCATATCAAACAACGCAAAAATCATGAATCGACCTCCAATCTAAGCTTAATGAACTTTAGAATTTCAAACTTCTACATTTGATACGAAACCTATCAAATCCCGTCCGATTGACCCAAATTTTGCACACAAGTCATATTTGACATTATGGACCTATTCCAACTTCCGAAATCGGAATCTGACCCCGATATCAAAAAGTCCACTTCCGGTCAAACTTCTTAAAAACCTTCAAATTTCTATCTTTAGCCAAATGTCTCCAAAACGACCTACAGACCTCCGAATTCACTTGCGATCGCGCTCCCAATACTAGAATCGCCATACGGAGCTATTCCCAGACTCGGAGTCCCAAACGGACATTGATAGCACTGAAATGCACTTCAACCCAAACTTATGAAATTCTTCCAAAAATGCTAACTTCCA